GAATAAATCTAACCGAAGAGTCAAAGAATCTGTACTCAGAAAACTATAGAATACTCATGAAAGAAATTGAGGAGAACACAAAGAAATGGAAAAACATTCCATGCTCATGGATTAGAAGAACGAATACTGTGAAAATGTCTATGCTACCTAGAGCAATCTACACATTTAATGCAATCTCTATCAAAATACCATCAACTTTTTTCAAAGAAATGAAACAAATAATCCTAAAATTTGTGTGGAACCAGAAAAGACCTTGAATAGACAGAGGAATGTTGAAAAAGAAAAGAAAAGTTGGTGGCATCACAATTCTGGCCTTCAAGCTCTATTACAAAGCTATAATCATCAAGACAGTATGGTAGTAGCACAAAAACAGACACATAGATCAATGGAACAGAATAGAGGGTCCAGAAATGGACCCTAAACTCTATGGTCAACTAATCTTCAGCAAAGCAGGAAAGAATGTCCAATGAAAAAAAGTGTCTTCAATAAATGGTGTTGGGAAAACTTGTCAGCCACATCCAGAAGAATGAAACTGGACCATTTCCTTACATCACACAAAAATAGACTCAAAATGGTTGAAAGATCTCAATGTGAGAAATGAATCCATCAAAACCCTTGAGGAGAACACAGTCAACTCTTTGACCTTAAACACAGCAACTTCTTCCTAGAAACATCACCAAAGGCAAGGGAAGCAAGGGCAAAAAATGAACTATTGGGACTTCATCAAGATCAAAAGCTTTTGCGCAGCCAAGGAAACAGTCAACAAAACCAAAAGAAAACTGAAAGAATGGGAGAAGATATTGGGAGATATGGGAGAAGATATTTGCAAATGACATATCAGATAAAGGGCTAGTATCCAAAATCTATAAAGAACTTAGCAAACTCAACACCCAAAGAACAAAGAATCCAATCAAGAAATGGTCAGAGGACATGAACAGGCATTTCTGCAAAGAAGACATCCAGATGGCCAACAGACACATGAAAAAGTGTTCAACATCATTCAGTATCAGGGAAATACAAATCAAAACCACAATGAGATACCACCTCACACCAGTCAGTATGGCTAAAATTAACAAGTCAGGAAACAACAGGTGTTGGCGAGGATGTGGAGGAAGGGGAACCCTCCTATACTGCTGGTGGGAATGCAAACTGGTACAGCCACTCTGGAAAACAGTATGGAGGTTCCTCAAAAGGTTGAAAATAGAGCTACCCTATGGCCCATCAATTTCACTACTGGATATTTACCCTAAAGATACACATGTAGTAATCTGAAGGGGTATGTGCACTCCAATGTTTATAGCAGCAATATCCACAATAGCCAAACTATGGGAAGAGCCTAGATGTCCTTCAACAGAAAAATGGATAAAGAAGTTGTGAGATAGATATATCTATATAATGGAATATTATGCAACCATCAAAAATGAAATCTTGCCATTTGCAATGACGTGGACTGAACTAGAGGGCATTATGCTAACTGAAATAAGTCAGTCAGAGAAAGACAATCATATGATCTCACTGATATGAGGAATTTGAGAAACAAGACAGAGGATCATAGGGGAAGGGAGGAAAAAATGAAACAAGATGAAACTAGAGAGGGAGACAAATCATAAGGGACTCTTAATCTCAGGAAACAAACAGGATTGCTGGAGTGGAGGGGGTTGGGAGGGATGGGGGGGCTGGGTGATGGACATTGGGGAGATTATGTGCTGTGGTGAGTGCTTTGAATTGTGTAAGACTGATGAATCAGAGACCTGTACTCCTGAAGCAAATAACACATTATATGCTAATAAAAAAATAATAAAATTTTTTTTTAAAGTTCATAAAGAAAAAAAACTTGAAGAGTAAGAAACAGAATTAAACAAATGGTAATGACTTAAATTTTACAAGTCTTAGTTCTTTTATCAACAATATGAAGATAAATACAAAAACTCACAGGACTTATATGAGTATTTAGGTTTTATATAATGCATCATTCTAGAAAACTCTCACTTGTCCTTCTCCTCTCTTATGCTTCCCCACAAGGTATTTCATCTGTCTTGGATGCCAGTCCTTTGTTTTACTTTATTTACTACGTACTAAATTTCCATTCTTTTTTTTTTTTTTAAGGTTCAACTAAGGAATTACCTATTCAAGTAAGGTTTTTTTTTTCAATTTCTCTATGTAGATTTAAGTGTTCTTTGGGTTTTTTTACACTCTTCTTATCTACTGCTCTTAGAGGACTTAGTTGCATTTTCAATACCTATCATGTTCCTATCATAGAAACTGTGCCTTCTTTATCTCTCTATTTCTGACTATGTCTTTCATATTCCTGGTTAGGTTACCAATAAATGTTACTTGAATAAATGAATAAATAGAATTTCAGCACTATCCACCTAGATTTTTGATAAAGTATTAGACCTAATAAAAATTCAATGAGTTTCAGATCCTGGAAGAATTGAGAAATAGCATAAAAAGGACAACTGTGATAATAGTGAAAATGTAAAGATTCCAGAGGATATCATCAGAATTAGTTTGACTTTTTCCAAAGATTTCCCTAGTGATATAAGTGTTATCTTCTTTGGAATAAGAAATTGTTTCAAGGGAACTTTTGTAAGAATGTTTACTTGGAAGAGATTCTTCATTAATATTACCATGTAGTAACATATTCTTCATCCATAGATATCAGGGAATGAGACTCAAAGGAATGAAAAGCAAGATAAAAATATTGAGTGTTAATGTGCAATTAACCTAAACAAACTCTGATTCTCAGCTTACTGTTATTACCTATTCAGACAACAATTAAATTTTAAGAAAGACTAAACAGACATATTTTGCTTTAGAGAACAATTTTTAATCTCTGCATTCTTTTTAGTTTTTAAATAGCAGATAGAAATTGGAGAGCTTAAAAATGTATTTTCTGATGACCATTATATCACTGTGCTTGGTTTTGAGGTTTTCTTCATTCATGCTATCATTCTGGAAATTTTCTTTATATCATATTTTCCAAATCAATAATGTTGTACATATATATTTAAACACTATTTTGTTAATTCAAATACCCAAAGGCAATAACAAAACTAGACATTTTGAGTAATTAAGCATATACTTGCATTGCCAGGAAAGGTGGGAATTGAGAATTACGTGAAGAGAAACTAAAGACTTATGTTGCATTCTTTTTCTAGGTACGGCATGTGAATTTTAGTATTTTTTTTAAGATTTTTATTTATTTATTTGACAGAGATTACAAGTCAGCAAAGAGGCAGGCAGAGAGAGAGAGGAGGAAGCAGGCTCCCCGCTGAGCAGAGAGCCCAATGCGGGGCTCTATCCCAGGACCCCGGGACCATGACCTGAGCCGAAGGCAGAGGCTTTAACCCACTGAGCCACCCAGGCGCCCTGGCATGTGAATTTTAAAAGGGAGCTTTTTCAGATGAGACCAAAATGACGCCAGTGAAAATGCTGTCTAGGGATATAAAGCTTGAACTCTAGAGTCTAACAGACAAGGATTAATATTCTATACAAACCCCCTTAATCACTATGTCCCCTGTGAAATATCCTTAACTTTTGCATCTGCAAGTTGGCAACAATAACACTTACCTAATAAAGCTAGGGGATCTAGTATGTGTAAAACATTAGCACAAGGCTTGAACACAGTGTCAAGGAATAATAATGTTGTTGCTATTATTACTGATTACAGAAAGCCTCATTTCAGGTGACATACTAGGTTCTGACAGGTAAAACGACTGGTTCTAAATCCAAGTCTGCTGTCCCAGACTCTGGAATCCAGACTTTATCTGTTAGGAAGTGTTCACCTACAAAATTGGAACTTCCAACTCAACTTAGATAATATAAAATATTTTGCTGCATCATCATTAAGTTCAGAGGTAGAGTTGCCTTCAGACTTGATTAATTAAGACGCTCAACTCAGGTTCTTGAGATGATCGTTTAAATTTTTTCTTTCATTCTATTAACATAATATATCATATTGATTGATTTGCATATGTTGTACCATCCTACTTGGTATAAATCCCACATGATCACAGTGAATGATCCTTTTAATATCCTCTTGAATTTGTTTGGCTGGTATTTGATAGAGAATTTTTGCAACTATATTAATCAGGGATATTGGCATACTAGTTTTTGTTTTTCTGGTAGTAGTCCTTTTTGACATCAGGGCCATGCTGACTCATAAAACGTTTCCTCCTCTTCAATTTTTGAAAGGGTTTGAAAAGGGTTGGCATTAATTCTTCTTTAAATGTTTATTAAAATTCACCATGTGGTTCTAGGATTTTCTTCTTTAGGAGATTTTTCATTACGGATTCAATCTCCTTACCAGTAATTGGTCTATTCAGACTTTCTATTTCTTCCTGATTCAGTCTTGGTATATTGTATGTTTCTAAAAAACATATTTAGAAAGTGTATTTGACAGAATTCAACATATATTCATCATGAAAACCCTTAACAAATTAAGTATAGAATGGATGTACCTCAACATAAGAAAGGCCATTTATGATAAGCCCACAGCTAACATACCAAAGGTGAAAGGTTGAAATCTTTTCCTTTAAGATCAAGAGCAAGACAAGGGTGTTCATTCTTACCACTCCTATTCCACATAGTACTGGAAGTCCATAGCAGAGCAATCAGACAAGAAAAAGAAATAAAAGGTATCAGAATTGGAAAGAAAGAAGTAAAATTTTCTCTATTTGCAGCTGACATGATTTTGCATATAGAAAATTCAAAAAACATCACCAAGGAAAAACAAAAACAAACAACAACAACAACAAAAACCCTGTTAGATCAAATTCTAACAATATTAGATTAACATTAGATGAAACAAATCCAGTAAAGTTGCAGGATACAAAATTAACTACAAAAATCAGTAGCATTTTTATGTACTAACAATGAATTATCTGAAAAAGAAATAGAGAAAACAATACCATTTACAACAGCATCAAAAACAGTAAACACTTGAGAATAAACTTAACCAAGAAGGTGAAAGGCTCTACTTAGAAAACCACAAAACTATGAAAGAAATTGAAGAAGACACAAAAAATGAAAAGGTATCCTGTGTTTATGGGTTGGAAAAATTAATATTGTTAAAATGTTAACATTACCAAAAACTATCTTAAAATTCAATGCAATCCCTTTTTAACAGAAGTAGGGGGAAAATCCTAATTTTTATATGGAACCACAAAATATTCTGAATAGCCAAAGTAAACCTGAATGAAAAAAATGTGGGAATATCATACTTCTTGATTTCAAGCTATCTTACAAAGCTACAGTATTTAAAATAGTACAGTACTGGAACAAAAACAACAAATACATCAATGGAGCAGAAGTGAGAGTCCAGAAATAAACTCATGCATATAATGTCAACTAATATTTGACAAGGAATCCAGGACTACTCATTGGAGAAAAATCAATCTCTTCAATAAGTGATATTGGAAAAAGTGGATATTCACATGCAAAAGGATGAAACAAAACACCTATCTTCCACCAGTTGTAAAACTTGACTCAAAAATAGATTAAAGACTTAAATGCCCAAACGAAGTGTTCATCAATGAATGAACAAATAAAGATATGGTATACATACACAATGGTATATTTATCAGTCATGAAAAAGAATGAAATCTTGCCATTTGAGCCAACAGGGATGGACCTAGAGGATATTATACCAAGTGAAATAAGACAAATACCATATGATCTCACTAAAATGTAGAAAAAAAAATGAACATACAAGATAAAACAGAAATAGGCTCATGTCACAGGAAATGAGCCATTGGTTACCAGAGCGGAGGTATTATGTTAAGTGAAATAAGTCAAACACAGAAAGACAAATATTGGTATGATCTCACTTACATGTGGACTCTAAAGGAAAATAAAACCGGAAACCAAACTAATAAAGAGAGAGAGAGAGAGAGAGAGAGAGAGAGAGATCAGATTTGTGGTAACCAGGGGTGGTAGGCAGTGGAGGAGGGGTAATTGGAAGAAGGTGGTCAAAAGGTACAGACTCTCAGTTATAACATAAATAAGTACTAGGTATGTAGTGTACAACAGGAGGACTATAGCTAACACTGCTGTGTTATACAGGAAAACTGTAAGAGAATAAATCTTAAGAGTTCTCAAAACAGAGGCGCTGCGCTGCCGCCGCCATAATCGTCCCGGTGCGCTGCTTCACGTACGACAAGATCGTTGGCAACAAGCGGGAGGCCTACCTGGCGCTGCTGCAGGCCAAGTACACCGAGAGGGATGCCCTGGGCGCGCTTGGCCTGAAATGCTACTGCTGCTGCCGCATGCTACTGGCGCACGTGGACCTGATGGAGAAGCTGCTCAACTACGCGCCTCTGGAGAAGTGAGGGTCTGGCGTCCACGCCCTGCTCCCCGCAGCAGGCTTACCCCGCCTGACCGCCCTGCCCTCCGTCGGTGGGCCTGTGTCTCTGTTCCGGGGGCAGCTGTCCAGTAAAGGTCTTCAAAGAACCGAGAAAAAAAAAAAAAAAGACAGAAAAAAAGAGTTCTCAAAAATGAAAAAAAAATTTTTTTATTGTATCTATATGTTAACTAAAACAATATATGTAACTTAAATCATTATGCTGTACACCTTAAACTTATGCAGTAATAGGTGTCAATTTCATCCCAATAAAACTGGGAGAAAAGAAAGAACTCATGTTCTTTCCATCTCTCTGCCATACATGAGATCAATTCCATCCTATGGCTGGTCATTTTTACGGCTAAAGAATGGCTACTGGAAACAATAGGGCAAAATGATCTTTGTTCAAGTAGGGAGAGTGACAGAGAGATCAAATTATTGATTCCAGGAACCCAAGCAATCCTCTCCCTTCGTGTAACTCTCTGCTCTTCTTTCTTCTCCTTTTCTTTCAACTTTCTTCCATATATTCTGTCCATCCTTCCATATTCCCTCACTCCCTCCCACCTCTCCTATTTCTTTCCTTCCTTCCTCCCTTTTTTCTCCTTTTTCCTCTTTCTTTCATTCTTTTTTCAACAATTATTTATTGGGTATCTACCACAGGCCTGTCACTGTTCTAAGTTACAGGGATACATCAGTGCACACAACTGTCAAAAATACTGCCTTCATATAGCTTACATTCTAGTGGAACCAATTTGCTCCCACAACTAAACCAACCACTGGCCGGAAGAATGAGATGACAGTGGTTAGAGACTAACCAGTTAGAGTGGAATAGATGTTGGGGAATCTACCACATTGGCTCAATATGTTTCAAAATACAACCTTGGGATCAAATCTTCAAGCACCTCACAGTCTATGGAAGGGAAAAACCATGCCTTTTTCTAAATATCTGCCTTATTTTCTGCTTCTCAGAAAGACAAATAAATAAATAAGTTCTTCAGTGGTGTGTACTACATAGTCATTACCAGACATATTTGTTTATGTGACAATATGTTGTTAATAAAATTTAAGCTCATTTGCTTTCTTTGGTTGTCATTTTAAAATCCCAGACCTTGCATTTATTTTGGTTTATTATGTAAAAATAATTTAGTGTTTTAATCATAGACTACATGATATACTGTAATGGTAATCTTTAAATGCCCATTTCATTAAAATTTTATGTTGCACACAAGACCTATAAGTCCCTGCTGCTACAGCAAATCATTTCATAACTTAATCTAATAACAATGTCTGGTGGTGATTTTCAATTAAATTGAGTCACTGGTAATGCATCAGAGTAAATGGAACAAATGTTGCTGATGCCACGTATGATGTGGTTTCACAATCATGCCAAAGTATTTTTGCCTCAGTTCCCACCAAATCCTGATTCCCACCAGAGTAAAGCAACATGTGAATAGCCCAGAACTAAACTTTGTTGTTGTTTTTTTTAGAGTAAGAGTATTTCATTTATTTTCAACCCTCTACTGGGGTAATTAAAATTCTGAGTCTTCTATCTTTTTGAATGTTTTGCATTTTTTTATTTAGTTTTATTTATGCCCACCAGAAATTAACCAAAATAAAATTGTCCAGAGCAGCAATCACCTTTCTTAAAGATATTACGTGGAAAGGGAGAAAATTATTATCTTTAAAATAAGTGCACAGGAACAGGTGGGATTTGCACAGGATGGTTTCCATGGGCTTTTCCAATTCTCACTTTCCTATAAGCTGCAGGATACCAACATACCTGGGTGTTGTAGGTGGTGGGACCATCTGACCTAAACTTCATCTAGCAAAAAAATCATACGATTATGTAAAAGTTCTTGAAATAAGTATAACTACAATTAACTAAGTCAAAATTCAGTCCTAGGAAAGCAATTAGTCTCTACTCCAGAGGCAGGGAAGTAATAGAAAAATGAAAACTCTGAAAATTAAGTGATAACACATGTAGCCAATAATATGAGAGGGTTTTAGCATTTAACTTAATAATAATGAAACAGATTTCTTCAAGAGGCACCTAATCTCAAATTTATCTTGGTTGGAACTCCTATGCTGCACCATATTCTATAAACAAGCTACATATTCACACAAACCATTTATAAGAGAAATTAAAGAATTATAAAATTATTTTGAAGAAATATCTCAGAAGACCCCCAGCCTTAACTATTGTTGATACTATCACTTATTTAAAAATCATACTAATGTATGGGTAAGCAGATCTGCCACTCAATGGATAAGCTTAACAGGGAAGCTATTTTCTGTTCTCATTGGTTGGATATTCATTTTAATTGACTAATGCACATGCCATACAGGTTGATAAATAGTTCAAATATTATTTCTGTACATCTGTACTATTGTAAACAATGCACATTGTTTGCGATGACTAAAATAGCAATTTATTGAAATGCATCACTTAAATATAACTCAGACATAAAAATCTGTGATAAGATCAATAATCCAAATGGCTGAGAGATTCCAAAACTGATCCAAAGACCATTTTCATTCTCAATTTTATTTTGATATGTGTCAACTAGATAATACAAAGCACTAAGTTTACCCTACAAAATCTTGGGACTATTGGGTATAAATCATGTATTAGTCTGCTAAGACCACCATAACAAAATGTCATAGGCTTGGTGGCATAAAAAAATCAAATTTATTTCTCACAATTCTGGAGGCTGGAAGCTCCAGATCACAGTTTGGCAGGGTTTAGTTGCTGGTGAGAATTCTCTTCCTGACTTTCAGACAGCTGCCTTCTTGCTACAATACTCACACAGCCTTTCCTCTGAGTATGTGGATATGGAGAGAAATCTCTCTTTTCCTCTTATAAGACCATCAATGTCTTATCAGATTAGGGTCTCACCTTTATGACCTCATTGTACCTTAATTAACTCCTAAAGACTTTATCTGCAAAGGCAGCAAAGTGAGGATTAGGGCTCAAACACAAGAATTGGTTGGGGGTAGGTGGTACAAAATTCAGTCCACAGCAGGTCAATAGACTCAATAGACTCTATCCTATCATCCCAACTACTTTGGAATCCAAAAGTTTTGAGGGAACTATTTTATTAACTTGGCTAACTTCAAGTAAAATACTATATGCATTTCATAGTAAAAACCTACTAAGTAGTTGTTCTTGTGTGACAAACTTATTGACCTAGGGTAAGATGATTGTCTAGGTGTTGAGTTATGGGGATTGGTGTCTACAGCTTCTAATAAAATGACAGAAACAAATTCAAGTTCACACTCCACTTCTGTGGATTACTATATCAGATATAATAATCACCCTAAAATTTCACACAATAGTGAGCCTTCTAATGTGGACTGACATAGAAATATTATATAGAAACCTAATGTGCTTTAAGTATAAGAGACACGGGGATAGAATTTAATTTAGCAATAAATCTTTGGGTTTAAAACAGACAGTTGATTATTTTAACAAACAGATAAAGATGATAGTAATGATGACAGTAATTGGTAGTAGAAACATCTCACAAAACAAAATGAGTACCATTTTCAGAAGAGTTGCCCAAAAATGTGGAAAAAAACCAAACTGATATAAAACTATTCACCTTAGCAACTGAATAATTTCTCATAAATTCATTAAGGAAGCCACTACCATATTTTCTAAATAACTCATAAAACATGCTCTTCTGGACATTTTTCCCACTTAGTAAAGACATTTGTCTTTCCTAAAGACATTTATTAAACATTTAATTGTATTAATATACTTATATTTATACTATATTTGTTATATTAATTATAACACATTTTTCTCTTCTTGCTTTTAGATCTATAGCTTTGGTGACCTTGGAGGAATGGAAATAAATTTGAGAGTCTTGGTTTATTTTAATATGTGGTTTTATATTTTTGGAGATTACATATGATTTGGAAATCAAGTTGCTAATGATTATGGGTTATTAAAATTAGGAATCCAAGCAGAGGTAACTGATGCAAGGGAGGGAGGTATAGGCATTTACACTTACACTTTGATGAAATGTTAATTGCACTGTAAGTATATGTACTTTCTGCTTTGGACAAGTATCACTGGGAAAGCCAGTGATAAATTGTAACAATTTAGGGGGTACCTGGATTTAACATGAGTATGGAACTGCATCAAAGCAGGGCATACTCCTGCCCTGCTTTGTACCAAAATTGCTGCTGTTATGAGCACACACAGTAAATCCTTACTATAAAAAATAAGATAAGTTTAATTAAGTTAATTAAATTAAATTAAATTAAATTAAAAGTAGTTACATATTTTCACTTGAGGGCCTAACTTATAATTGTGGTCCAGAGTAACAGTTTCTGTACAAGGAAATCTAGAGTATTTTTCCATCTACTAGGACATCTGAGTTTCAGCAACAGATTACTATTATGAATGAATCAATAAATCATATATTTTTAAAAGACTGTTTATACCATTTTTTTAATTAATAAACAAAATCATAACAAGAAGGCTTCTGCATAGAGAAAACAACAAATGATGTTGCAAATTAAATCCTAAGCATAATTTCATAGAGGTAAGTGAAGAGAACGTTTTCTTAAAGAAGCTTAATAGAAGTTATTTCCATTTAACAGTGCACTTCCATTTCACACGTTATGAAATTACACAGCTTTCTGAACACAAAACCACACTCCCCATAGCAACCAAGTCAAGGACCCTGTGGGTGTAGGTGTGTGGCCATGTGTCCATGGGAGTCTTAATACTTACTAACCTACACCCAGACTTTATATTCTCACTTGGGACACTGGCCCTTTTGCTCTCAGTCCATAAATCTCTCTTATTATCTCATCATCCCTTTTCTTTGCCCTAATGCTCCTATCCTCTCAGTTTTCTCCTATGAACACCAATATCTTGCCGCATGTAACTTGCTCTGAATTTTCTCATTCATTATATTCTTGCATGGTTTTCTCCACAATTTTTCTCCCTTTCATCTTTATCAGTAGCCTCCATCC